GGTGAATATAGCACTTAAATTTGCTTTAGAGACATATGTTCATTAGGACAGCAAAGCTATTCTATTTCTCTGCTCTGGCCCGGTTTAGTTTTCATGTTCTGTTAAGCCAATTCAGAAATACAACCTCAAAAAAACTTAGAAAGAAACTTCAAAGAAAAAAGGAACACTGCTAAAAGTGAGTTTTAAAATGTTACCAGCATCTGGATTTTGATATTATGGAAACAGGTGGGAAATTTATCCACATTTATTTCAGACTGGGCAGCACCTGCAGCCTACAGGGGATAATGTACTTTGGTTCCTATGGGAAATACACTGTAGACTGCTGCCATCCTCAAGATGTAATTATAGCCCTTTGTATCAAAGAAAAAAATGATTGTATACATTTAGTACATTTGAAAAATCCATCTTGAAAATGAATCCAGCCATGGATAGTTCTGATTCAGCATCAGTTGAAATAAATCAGAAGACTCACTGATTTCAGTAAGCTTTGTGCTTGACTGTAATTACAATATGCAGATGTGCATCTTTTCATGAAGCAAGTCAGTAGTACAATGAAAAGGTGGAAAGTTAATAATACACTTGAAATCGCAGCATGTGGCTGCATATTAAATACTGTTTAGATAGGCTGAGCTACTTAGTGTTGTACCTTCAGCAAATCCTGAAATGATTCATCTCAATGAATTATTTTTCTTCTGTCTTGCTTCATTTTTTTTTTCAGAAAACATTTGTATTTTGTGTTCAAATGCTTTCCAATTAAAAAGGGTACTGTAGTAAACTACCCCATATATAAATATAAACACAGGAATAGTCACCGGTATTTTGAGTTTGTCATAGGCAGTCCTTGTTTGTGATTATAATGCTATTTATTTGCATAATTGCTTATTTTATCCATCTGTATATATCTGAGCCGTGTATATGAGACGTCGCATATCAGTAGTTAAGCCATGAATAAAAGTCTAACAATAACTTCCTACCTCTCTGAAGTAAATTACAGGACAGTAACACTGAATGCAGTGTTATGACCCTTGATATTTGAATTTCTGGCATTATATTTTATATAAAATCTCCAAGGCATTCATGGAGGATTATAAATACAGTCCTTACTCCATGGTTTATAGATTATTTACAAAGTGAAGTCAACAAAAATATATTCAGTATTGCCATCAATTAACAGAATAAATTATTTTAAAATGCTATGTTTAAACAAATCAGAAAAGATAAGTGGAATAGTCACGTATGTGAGAGGCATTATATTGAAGACTCTTGGTGCTGTAGAGAAGGATTCAAAGCTGAGGGGACCTGGTTGCACCCTAAATAATAGCAATTGCAGATTGATTTATTTACTCACAAACTGATCATGAGTTTGGGAAGGCCTTTAATCATTTTGTTATGAAAAAGTAGTGAATGATGCCATCTCCTCCTCTGCAACAAAGACGTACTTTTCACATTAACAGAATTAATATTCAGTAATGATCCTTACCTAGTTGAAGTGCAGAAGAGTTCTTACAACATCCTTACAACAACAAGTGAGTAACATCAGTTTTCATAGTTTTTTGATGTTTCAAGTGAGGGTCATTTAAATTATGTGGCTAGGCCCACTGTCAAGCTCAAACAGAGTGCAGGGGTCCTAGTTTCAAAGTTTTAGACCAGATTACTAAGTTGTATCACCAGGTTAAATCTTAGTTACTCTTTTTTGCTGACATTCACAGTGGGAATAGAGTTCATCCCTTTCTGAACAACAAATGTTTTTCCTGTTGTTCTGCCATGCAGATAATAGTGCCTTAACACAAGAAGTCCCACCTATTTAACTCTCCACAGGAGGAAAAGCCTATCCATCGAGAAGTTTACTTTATGACAAGCTGAGTGCCAAGGTGTGTTTTTCAGAGTAGCACAATGCCTATAAGGGGTCAGAAGAGAGCAACTTCGGCTTGTTTCTCAGAAAGCTGGGCAGCTGTCTCCCAGAATAATGTATGCATTGAGACAGCTGGAGAAAGTATTTCAGAAACATGTGGGAGCAACATATGTGTTGTTACAGGTCACTTGGTTACTCATGCTGTGGAATGCCTTGTAATTCCTGCACGTGGACTCATGCCCTTGGAGACAAGTCTGCAGTAGCTTGCGCCATGGGAAATTAACTGATAAGCAAGGATTCAGCTATGCCTTAATTCAATATTTAGCAATATGCTGAGGAAGTGAACAAGTTTGGCAAAAAAAAAAGTTATCAAAGGAAAGAACTGGATGCCAGGTGTAACATGAGGTAGATGAATAGCTTTGGACTCTGGGTTGTACTTCTGGAAAATAAACTTTCCATGTAAAGTCTCTTTGTTTTCTTTTTTAACACTGAAGTTTTGCTTAGTTTGGAAAATCTTATACACATTCATTCAACACTTATTTTAGAAAACACTACAGCTAGCTAAGGTGCTGCAATTCTATTTTTTTTAAATGATATTTTTCTATTCTGGCCAAATGACATGAACACAGCTTTTGTATATTCTTTTCTTTAAGTGTGTTGTGAATTTTACTCTTACAATCTGTTAATTATTCTAACTCACTTTAAAAGTGTGATACCTTCTAATGCGTGTGGTGTCTATTTCTTAATAAGTATTTATGACAGAAAGTTTTTCACAAAGGAAAATGATTCTTTACTCTTTCCTTTTTTCAGGAAGTTTCTAAAGCAGGTTGAGAAACAGTACGAAATAAGTGTCACACGCAGAAACAAGGCAGATCACAGCTGCACACTTCATGAACATTCAAATGCACGTGAGTTATTTTATTTCATGTAGTATTAAAAAACCTGAACATACCACTCTGAAAAGGAACTGAGATCCTAGTGTAAGAAAAATTAAAAATGAGGCACTGTAAGTTACCATTAAAGACAGGCTTTCTCTAAAGGCTTTCTCTAACTAAAGTGCAGAGAGCAAAATATTGATTATATTCTTTTCTAATACATTTTTAATTGTCTTTCCATTTCTTGACACCTCTTCAGATTTTTCCCAGACATTTGCCCCAGACTGTCTGGCTTATGCCTGTACTGAGTAGGTTGCAAAATCCTTTTGTCCTGAGAGAGAACTTAATTTACAGTAATTACTTTTGTTTGATTTCTTTTTTTCATCTCATTTTTTGTTTTCTTGCCTCTAACAGTTCTTTATACTGCACTCAGCTATGACATGATATTGTGTATTCCTAACCTTACAAGTGCTTTTCAATTGGTTTCCATTGGTGCACTTTAAGATTTTTAGTAGAATTGTCAACAGTCTCTCTTAATACACAATATAGACTCAAATAAAACTGTTTCCAACTCAGTAACTGCTCACACATACATTTTCCTTTGTATATTGAAGTAATCACAATAAACTCAGTAATGTTCTTCATACACCTAATTAAATATGTAAGTACCTGAAAGATTAGAACGTTACCCAGACTTCCTCATGTTGAACAAAGTTGTGTGCAATTGTTTTCTCTGAAAAGAAGGGAGTTTCCTTAAAATTTTATTTGGCTGAAGAAAATAGGAATTCAGAGAATAATCAAAGAGGAATGAATACAGCAAGGTAATAAATCCACAGAAAAAGAGTGCATTTCAGGCATGATCACCATATGTGTAAGCTCATAAAATAGGTATCTATGAAAACCTAACAGGAGATGAGACCTTTTTATGTTGGCGCTTGTAAATTGAGGCTCTATCTTCTTGCCTGCTCTCCCACAGAGGTGCTTCCTGCCCTACCTTTTTTTAGGCTATTGATAATGGAAGCCCTATGGTTTGCTAATATAATACCCTAGCACACTGAGAGCATTGTGTTATCTAGTGACAACCAATATGAGTGTAATAACTTTTTAATGGCTAAACACACATGCAAACAGCAGGTTACCTGCTCTTGGGTAATTATTTTTCACAGCTAAATCTAGATCCTGGTTCCTTTTATCCGAGCTGCCACCTCACTGAATGAGTGGCTTTCAGAAATCCATTCAGTTTGAAGAAATTTAGGAAAGAAAAGAGACTTGAAAAAATGTTTACAGAACCTTTTCTGTGGCTGTCATCAGGCAGTCATTTGTCAGTGATAGATGTTTGCTTGTTTTATATTTTCAGAAAAAATCCCTTAAGATTAAAAAAATGCAACCTCTGACTCACAAATGAGATGAAAAAATTAAGAAGATAATTAAGAGAACATCTAAACCAGGGTTCAAATGATGAACCATTCAAACTCTTTAGTTAAAACTAGGACATATAATTGGGACCATTTTTATTGGTTACAGGTCACGACTGGATCAGTTCATCCTCCCATTAAAGTCAGAAATTCTGTCCCATATCCAAGTTTTTCATCTTGAGTTTTAATCCGTTATAGACAACAATGAGGCCATAAACATTCTTGAAATGAGGGTTCTAATAGTTAGATTTTTCTTCTCTCTTTTCAATGAATTCCGGAACATTTACTTCACCATCTATTTGAAAGGTTTACTAACATAGCATATAATTATTTCTGTTTCTTTTTAAAACCTTAAATTTGCTTTTTTTGTTGTTGTTGTTTTTAACATTATTGGTAAGCATACATTCATAATCTGTATCCCTACACACACATATGTGACCTTGTTTTTCCAGGGTAAATTAAAGAATCTGCAATTAATTGTACGAACAAGCAGTGCTTTCTGAGACTATGCTATGGCTTCCAGTCAAACAAATTCCATATCCAGTTAAAGTTACATCTTCTTTTAATATAAGTTCAAAGATACTATCACTTTGCCAAGAGGGAAAATACTCTCCCAAAATAAAAACAGCAAAACAGCAACAGCAAAAGGAGAAAGAAAAAAAAAAAGAAAAAAAAGTTACCATGAAGGAAAGAATAAAAGCATCTTTGTGCTCAATTGGGCTATGAAAATTATCTCCAGTTGTACATTGATCTTAAAAATAGCATGCTAAGGAACAGTGAGCTCAGTTTTTGTCTGACTGCTATTGGTTTTACAGTAGAGTGTCTGCACTTATTAAGTTACCTTACTGATTATGGCAGGCCAAATTGGAAGTCCATGAAAACAAATGGAAATCTTTCTCTATGTTCAGTTTACTTGGAACCAGTTCCTATGCCAATGTAAGTAAAGAGAGAAAAGGTCTGATATCTCACAGGCAGTAATTTCTTTGTTAAACTTCATTAAAGTATCTCCACTCTGTACTTACCTCCTTCTCCCAAAGTTTGGGTGTCCAATTTGAAGGAAAGTCATGAAATTCCTTCTAAGATAAATGTTAATTATTACTTAGCAGAAACCTCGCCTGCTAAGGTCTGCACAATTTGAAATATTTGCTATAAGTTTCAATTACAAGATAAGGGGGACTTCACATTGTGCACATTCTCTTTTATTTAACTTTCCTGAACATTCTAAGAGAGTTTTGAAGAATTATTTGAGAATTTATGTTGTTCTTATTAATTTCTCCCTCCAAGATTTCAGAAAAGATATACAAAATTATATGGTGTTATCCATAAAATCTGTATTTTTCTAACACTTGAAATAAGTGTGAGAAGAACAGTACAAAGAAAGAAGTTGGCGTGGTTAAGAGTTAGCTTCATGGTCTTGTTATCCGTGAATCTGGGAAACATTTATTTTAATAAATCAAATTTTGTGTCTTTTTTCTTGTTAGCAGTGAGAAGTGAGTGTTCAAATAAAATCCCAAAGTTTTGTGGGTTTCCTGAAGCTATTAGAGCATTTGAATTTACACTTCCATTGGTATGTGCATGATAGATTAGTCATGCGAGTCTTAGCAAAAAAAAAAAAGTTGTGAATTTATTCCATTGGACATGGTGTAGGAACACACGCTCTTTGAGGATGAAGCACCATGTTTGGTTTGCTTTTTTGTTTAAAAAAAAAAAAACAACACAATGTGCGGAAAGAAACAAAGCAATGAAAACCTTAAGTGGATATTGAAATATGGACAGTGGACTGCTGTGTTCCCTCAACCACCATGCTAACTTTCCATAATTCTGTCATCATACAGCTCACAAATGGCAGCATTGCTACTTTAACTGTTTCAAATACTTGTTCTCTAGATGTATCTTTAATGAAGGAAGTATCTCTTTTGGATGAATAGAAGTAGATATTTATAAGTCTTCTGGGGAAAAATGCGCAGAACTGAGTAGAAGTCTCAGCAATCCTTACATGTTAACTTTCTCCGCTTACATTTTGCTAAGGTGCTGATGACAGAGAGATACAAATTCTTCCTAAAGTTTAATAAAGGCTTTGTACTGGTCTATTCATTCATAACTATAACTTAGGATATTATATTTCAGGAGATTGTTTAAACACTAATATATGGGGGTAAATCTCTAGTAAGCAGGCTTTTGCAAAAAATGTGGAGTATAAAGATGTCAGAGAAGTAAGGAAATATCTTGTATATTCATTCTTCTTTCAAATGTCACTCTGCAACTCTTTGCACAATGTTTTCTTGCTCTTATGTTAGAGCAAAAACCCCACAAGTCTAAATTTCTTTGTTGTTCTATTTGAAATGCCAGTTGCAAATGGTATTGTAGTGCAAACAGATATAATGAGTTTTATGACAGAAAGACTGTTCAGATAACACAGAATCAGCTGCAAATTGTTCAGTTTTTGCACCAGCTAGTTTAGTAAACAGGGAGGAAAGACTGAGAATCACCAAATTATTGTTTGAACAATAGTTATAACTGGTTTTCTAGACTTCTGAATTCTGAGGTTTTTGTTGTACTTTCAATTTCACAAATAGGAAAACATGACATGACATGGGTAATAACAATCTTTTTCAGTCAGCAAACTGAGATACCTGAAGAAAAGATACTCTAGATGATATCTAACTTCTCAAAGGGAAATACAATTTAAAAGAAAGTAGTTCAAATGATATTTTAGTTCACAGAATAATCTGTAGGCTTATTTTTTGCTTATGTGACAGCTTTCTACCACAGCTGAGAGCTTCCATGAGCATTTCACTGGGATATGTTAGGAACAAAGAGCTAACATGCTGGTGTGAAAAATGTTGGCTGTTAAGATTCACTAAAATTTACAGGAAGATTATCATACGTACAGACCAAGAGATATCAGCTTCCATAAAAAAAATATTTCCATTACAAAATCTGTCTTTCTTTGGTAACAAAAGCACCACGTGCATCGGCATACAGCTAAGTGATTATTTGTGCTTTGTATTTCCATGCTTTCAAGAATGACAGAAGCCTATTGATGTTATCCACAGTAGCCTTTTGTGAATAGATGAGTATGAATATCTTAGACATGCTAGATCTGTCTTACTGTTCACAGGCTATCAGATACAGAAAAGCAACTGAAATATTCCCTGTGCTTCCAGAAGCTTTGTAGTTGTTTGAATAAAAGTGTTTCTGTAACTTCTGTTACAAACATCCCTAGTGTCTAAGTCACAAAGTAAAATACAGCTTCCTCTGTTTGACACTAAACCTTGGATTTAGTACCAGACTAAGACCCTTAGGTGTCTAGTTTTTACTAAGTCTTCTAAATGACTGTTACAGTGAAGAACCTATGGTTTGATTCAGTTTCGTAAATATAAACCTCTAGAACCATTTGCAGTGCCCAAGATAATCAAAATATGTATGCAAGGAGTTGGCAGATATTACACAGGAGCTACAGAATATTCATGTCCTTCTGGATCAATGGCTCGAGGTCCAACAGGATACTCCTGGGCATCTCAAATATTACTGGAGGTCTACATTTAAGAAATTGAACTGAAAACCTGATTAATACAATGGTGCTTAGAGATCTGTTAAGGTGACACCAAAGTAGATGTTCCAGGAATTTAATTTGAAGTAAGTCAACCCAAAATTTAGGTATACGTGTGTTCTTGCTTTCATATTAATTTCATGCTGGATTTCCTTTTCTAGACATGAACATCTGATGTCATTCAAGCTGCACAAGGTAATTCTGCATTGTTGATACTCTAGAAGGTAATTGATTCTCCTAGGAGTTCTGCACTGCACTTGTCAGCAGCACCTGAACGCTCTGATTCAACAGTTTTCCATTACAGACAACTGATGTCTGCAGTGGTGTGTGACTGCTTTTTGGATCCCCCAGAAATCACACTATCCTCTTGCAAGTAAGGTAGGTGTCTTCTGTAGGCTAGGCTGTATTCCTTCCAAAGCCATAGAGATACCTTATCTATGCTATAACACCTCATGCAATACTAAAAGTGTTTGTTTTGGATACTGAATCGTGCCACTAGTACATACGAGTTGTTTCCTGACTGCACTTATTAGACATTAGCTTCTCCTAATGGGAGCTTAGATGTTTAATTTAACATATGATACTAATTTTAGGTGTCTTGATCTAGAGCTGAATTTCCTTCTACTATGACTAACCCTTACTTTTCTGTCAAGGACTCACTCTGATTTCTATTTCTCTTAAACATGTGTAGGATTAGTATCCTTTTTAACCATTCCATCAGAAACGTATTTGTTGTAGCCAATAAATGGATGGGACCCAGAAGAAAGAAGTATACATGACAGATCAGGCATTTTACTGTAATTAAGTGATATCTCTGTTGTATAGCCACAATGGTATAATTGCCTTCCTAGAACCATCAAGTGATAACGCCCCATGTGGACACCCTTTCCAAACAATGATAGAGTGATTTATTCTTTTTTTTTTTTTAATGATTACACTACATCCAAAGAAATAATTACTCTGGAGGAGAGAAATTACTGTATTAAGGCAATGTTTATGTTGACACAGAGAGTTCATGGGGGAGTTATACTAGTTCAGCAGCAATATAGCCATCCTGCTGTAATTCTCCTGGATGATGTCCCTAAACAGGCAAGTCGGGGAATCTGGCATTTCTCCTTTTTTTGAATAGGATAGAGTTGCTGGTAGGAATCTATTAGGTTGGTGGTTTCCCTTTCTCCATTCCACGGACAGATACATTGGAAAGACAATTTTAATGGCTAGAAAATTGAATTGTTCAAGGAAATATTCTTTCAAGGAATAATATGTAAATGATTACTGATTTCAAGAGTTTTTTCCTTTACCTCTGTATCTTGTGAAGATTTGAGTGGGCATCAGTATAATCCGAAGGTCATCTGCTGATGTTAGAAAGGTCATCTTTTTGTCTGCTGGTTCAACAAAAAAGACAAGCTGTCCTTACAAACCTTGCTATATGCTTAAGTTCAAAAAGAAGGATGAAATGGATAATGCAAAATAGCTAAAGTGGCAGAGGTACATATGGGCAGTAAACATAAATATGAATGTGAATATGAACTAAATATAAACATGATGATCAATAATGCAAACACATACTACATTTATCTTTGCAATATTGATTTCGAAATAATGATAAAATATTGATCTAATGGGGGTCATACAGAATCACAAAACCACAGAAACTTTGAGGTTGAAAGAAACGACTGGGGAACATCTGGTTCAGCCCCCCTATTCCAGCAGGGCCGCCTAGATCAGGTTGCCCAGGCCCATGTCCAAGCAGCTTCTGAACATCTCCAAGCATGAAGGCTGCACAACCTCCCTGGCCAAGCTGTGCCAGTGCTCAGTCATGTCCATGGAGGAAATCTGTTTCCTGATGTTTAGACGGCATCTCCTCTGTTTCAGTTTGTGCCCACTGACTCTGGACCTGTCACTGAGCACCTGTGCCATTGGGCACTGAAAAGAGCCTGGTTCCAGCTTCTTTGCACACTTCTTTCCCCTGAGTCTTCTATTCTCTAGGCTAAGCAGTCCCAGATGTCTCAGGCTTTCCTCATAGGACAGGTACTCCAGTACAGTACAAAAGATTGTGGCTTTTGCTGGACTCTTTCCATTATATCCATACTCTTTCTAGTATAGGGGAATCCCAAACTGGGACGCAGTTCTCCAGGGTCTCACCAGTGCTGGCCAGAGGGGAAGGAGAACCTCCTTGTTGCTTGTCATCTTCTAGGAGACCAAACATATGTTTTAAAACATATTTAAATAATCACATTTAGGACCAGACATGCACAACTATCTCAAATCTGCACAGCATTGTTATGTGGGCAGTTTTGCATACTACAAAGAACTGGTAAAGCCAATAGCATCTTATTTAGGATTTTTATTGTAAACATATATGGCTAATTATAATTCACACACACTGTTCTTTTTCTTTTTATTATTTAATGACGTTAACCAGTCTGGCAATGCCTGTTCTGATTTGTTCCATTTGCAATATTGCAGACTGCATGATACTTATAGAGATTATGTTACAGTTCAAGAAGCAAAAAGATGTGAAGCACCCCCTTTCTAGATTTACCAAGTTAGCATATTTTTCAAACAAACCACTTTGAAAAATAAATACTGTTTGATGTCCATGGTGAGTTTAAATGAAAGTCAGCGTGTCTGAGATGGTATCTTTTTACATGGAGAAACATTAACTCCAAAGGCACTGGAATGAGCACCATCAATTAAACTAAAAACCACCTGCAGGGTTAGACAAAAAAAAAAAATAAATAAACAATCAAAGGTTGATTGAGATGCAAATTGAGACACAAAACAAAACAATTTTTTAAAAATCTCCATAATGATGTATTTAAACATGTACCTAGATGTGCCTGAAGATGTGCCAGTCCTTCGTCTGCACATTATTGTTCCCTAAGTCACGTAAACCACAGAAGTTTCTCATTCTCCGTTGGCTGCATTTAACAGAAACAAGCACTAGCTCTTACTCAACACAAAGAAAGATGAAGCAAATAGCCTCTTCTCTCAGTCTTGATTTCTTTTTTTTTTTAATTCAGTTATTTGAAGAACCATGTCATGTTTGTACTGAGTGTCATGACATCCAGTTTATAGTAAGTATTAAAATCTCTGTGGAGAATGAACTTCATAATTCCATAAATGAACCTCCTGAAATTCTGTCAGCTTGGAAATAGCCTGTTTAAGTGTAGGGGAGAAGTTGAAATTCAACCATCTGCCCATAAATTTTAAAGATACAGTGCTATTAACTAAAGGAAGTGGGATTCTGTCAGGAACTAAAGCCACTATAGCAACATCAACTTTCTGACTTTGCTTAATCAGATTATAAAAGAGAGATATTGTCTGACAAATTATAGTATTTTAGGCCAGTATGATATTGGTAGTGTAAGTGAAGTTGAGGAGGAGTGAGGTGGCACTTGAGAAAATAATGGTGACCTTCTTAGTCCTCACACTGTGTTACTCAAGAGCAGACTGTAGTTCACCCTTGTAGGTACAAAGCTTAACTGCAATGCCATAAAATGTACACTTGAAAGACGACTAAACATGTAGCCTCAAGCTCAACAGTACTTGGAACACTGAGATATTAAGTTGTTTTTTTTTCCTGATAATTTACCTTATGATAGAATGTCTATTAGTAGCCTGTTCTTAAAATTACATTCCTTAGTTTCAGTAGAAAGAATGCTAATTAACCTGTAGTTTGTAAGATTCATGAATCGACATGTAATACAACCTATTTAAGGTATTTTTCCTTGAAAACCCCTCAAAACCATTCTTGCGTGTGCTCTCTCCTACACCAGCCAGATACTTACACATGCTTCTTGTAGATCCAGTTCTTATAAAGAAAAAAAAAAAAAGACAGTGGTGGTGAAATAACAGGAATAGGGTTATCTCTGTCAGTGGAATAATCCCAGATCTCCTTTCACCACGCTCTTCTGCACTGATTTATGAGCTCTGTGTAGAGCCCATGTCAAACAAAGTTACAGTAATACAGCAAACTCCCAAGAGGTAGTAGCACTGTTGAACCCTGCAGACCTTCACAAGAAGTGTTTTCTAAGGTTCTGTACAGTTGGTGTCAGATTGAATACATCTGGGATATATTTAGACCAAGTTTGCTTCCAGCAGAGCTGTCCAACTGTTCAACACTTATTGAAAATCATTCTTATCCTTGAGATAACCGTGATATATTTATCATTCTCTAATATATGGAGATCCATGAAAGGGATTATGATACTGTGACAATTAGGAGAAAAAAAAATAAATTAAATCCTCAAAGTGAATGCTGAACTGAGAATGTAAACTAAAATGCTGCTTATAAGTATCCTCTAAGGACTGTTCTCTATTTTCTTATGCATTTAATTTGTTGGAGATGTCATTACCTTCAATAAAATGAAAAAAAAAAAAAAGAAAGAACCACCAATGTGCCATATTACTTACAAGCTAAAAAGGGGGAAATCTGTCTGCTGTCCTCCCTCAGAGCAGATGGCAGCACAGAAAAACATGCAAGTTCAAAGGAGAGAATCAGCTGTACTTGATACAAGGCTGTAGTACTGCTCTTTGAACACTGAACAGTACCACAATTTCTTGCATTATCAAGACCTTTATTTATTTCTTCTGAAGTGTCCCTTACTACAGCGAGTAGTTTGTGCAATTTAATCCATAATGTATAACTTGCTCTCTTGCTGTATTCAATTGCTTTATCCCCTGAATTATTATCAGGCAGAAGAGAAAATTAACATGGCAAATACAGTCACTATCTGTGAAGTTAAGGCAAAAATAGATGCATTTAGTATACAGGAAAGAAGTAGAAGGAGCTAGTAGATGTGCTCTATGTTGAGTTAGAATTTTGTTGTTGGGGGTGTTTGTTTTCTTGGTGTTTGTTTGATTGTTTGTTTTATTCTGTTCAAAAATATTCAGCCTTGGAAAGATATGTAAAGGTTCTATCTTTTAAGTTAAGCAAAGTAACAAATACAGGGAGATGTGTAAGCAGTAGAACATGTTTCAGTTTGAGTTTTGTTTAAATCCAGTCCTCAAGGCAGAGTTACTCTCTGCAAAGTTGGTATTGAGTGTCTGGAAAAGAATGTAACTTAAAGAAGAGTGTGCCTCACATGCTGATTTTAATCTATTTTTCCATAGCAGGTGTGAATGCAAATAAAAAAGGTTTATATTTGAAATAAACCCAGACTTCACATCTATAATTTTTCCTTCACTGTAAAAAGTAGTTTGTGAGACCTCCAAGTGC